GCTCGTCGACAAGGCGGGCACGCCAAGTCCAAAGGGGGAGCGGATGATGCAGACGAGGATGATACCAAGCCTGGTCTCAGCAAGATGAAAGCGGCGCTCAGGCAGACGAAAAGACTGCTGGCTAGGGTGCGTGCCAGCGCTGAACAGGGAAAGAGATGGCGCTCATCTGTTACGCATCTTTGCTGCCTTCTAGGACGATCTCCCACCTGACGCTCGACAGCAAGCTCAGCGGCGCTTGCAAGCGCTCACACACGACGTTCAAACGCGAGAGCGCGAGAATGTGGAGAGGGAGAACGCGCGCAACAGTCATCGAGCTCGATTCTTCGGTAAGTGATGCGCCAACTCTTTCTTTGCGAGTGAGATGACTTTTTCAGCTCATGGGGCGACGCCTTCACAGAGAGACAAAAGCTTGTTCGTCGGATCAAGCAGCTCAAGACGACGCTTTCTCAAGGAGAAGCCAAAGATGCAAGCGTAACCGAAGCACAGCTGTTCGAAGCGCGTGTTCGACTCAATTACGTCCTCGTGAGTGGCGAGCCCTACGACGCCGGCGAGGGCTGCGACTGACCAGTAGATCTTTGACTGGGAAGAATTGGCCACACGAGCACCCATACGTTGCCTTGTTTCCGGCACGAGGAGATGCGCCCTTTGTCTCACTGGACGAAATGATCAGCGCTGATGTCAGTCCAAATCGCGCTACGACGGACGAATCGCATTCACGCGCTCACAAGGTCAGAGCGGAGATGGAGGCTGCTATGAGAAGGGGAGAAATGACAGACCCCGAAACTTTGCTCGAGGCCGGTGAACGCAGGGTAAATAGCGGCGTGGGAGACAAGAGAGGACGGGACGAGGCTGAAGACAGGAATGCTGACGACTCGGAGGAGGAGGAGGAGGGACTGGCTGCTGATGACTTTTTCGCTCAAGGTGGAAGCGACAGCGACGAGGACCAGGCGTAGGGCAGCAGGCGCGCCATGCACAAGTTCAGTATCATCCCGCCACATTGGCCACAAAAATCTATCACAATGCTTGCGGCGATGACATGACTGGACAAATGTACGCCACTAAGCCTTGCCAAATTTTCTGAGCGGATCGGCTTTCTTGCCTCTTCCGCCCCCTCTGCTCCCGCCACGACCGCGTCCGCGTGCGCGTCCTCCGCCGCGTCCAGTCGAATTCTTTGCAAAACCAACATAGCCCACATTGCGTCCCTCCGAATCTGTGGCTGGTCTAGACGACCCGCTTGCTGTCGGATCTGAGCTCGCAGAGCTGGGCCCGCTAGGCTGCTTGAGCCGCGTAATGCGAGGCATCAGGTACGACGGGACGTGTTTCAAATGCGGTTGGACGCGCGTCGAGTGCAAAGACTTGTCGTGGCGCAAATAAGCCAGATCGTGCGGATTGTCTTCAAAGTGGGCCTGGAAAAGAGGGAGGAGCGTCAGCTGTGTGTGTGTCATCATCACCACCACCCATCTCATACACACCTTGAGCTTCTCGCTATTCAACAGCTCCTGCTTGATCTCCTTGATGCGAGCTTCCTTGATCGCAGCTCGCGTGACGGCTCTCATCGCATCGTCCACTCGGTATCTAAATCCTTCAATTTGAGGCTTGTCAAAGTTCCACTCCTTGATCGTCGTTCCCTTTTGTCTTTGGTCCTCCTCGATACGTGACCAAGTACCTTCGTCCATAGCAGCAGTTGCATGCGAGACGCCAGACTTTTTCAGTGGACCTGCCGATGCTGATCCATCAGCGCTTTCGGACTTCCACACGGACGAGGGGACGACAAATGAAAGACTTGTACCAGTCTGACCCGCCCTGGCCGTCCGTCCAATTCGATGAACGTATCCTCGCGCCGTCACTGGCAGGTCAAAATTGATGACACAGGCTACCGAGACGAAGTCGATACCGCGCGCCACGCCATACTCGGCGTCTCCACCGCGGCGCTTTGAGCTGCGCTCTGCAACCTTGCTCTCTCTGGAGGATCCTCCTTCTTCATCCCGTTTTCTCTTCCTCTCATCGCTTGCAGCGGTGTCGGCTTTGGGAGAATTTCGTTCAGCCCCGAGAGGGACGGCCTCTTCTTCTTCCACCTCGAATTCTGCCGATCCCTCGACCGACGCCCGACTTTGCTCTCGCGCGAGGTCTTGCTCTTCTTGGTGTGCAGTTGCGGCGTCGACACCGAAGCGGGATTCATCGGTCGCTACAATGTAGTCGTAGACGCCCTTGTTGAACTGCTGGACGATGTGAAACCTGCCAAGACAAGGAGAATGTGATAAGGAACGCGTGGTGGGCGAAGGGACTGCGCAGACTAACCTGCTCTCCACCGGCAGCTCCTCATTCAACACGGTGCTGCGAATTCCAAACTGCTCCAAGAACAATCTTACTCTGTACGCGCGCTCCGTCGAGTTGACAAAGATGATACACTTGCCTCGGACCAATTTGAGGCGTAAGATGACGAAGATGAGGAGGAACTTGTCCGCTTGAGAAGTGAGCTGCACGCTATACTGCGCCAAGTGAGAGAGATGAAGGGAAGGCTGGAGTCTCAATGTGACCTGTGCAGGGGCGGGCTGGTGTCAAGTGCGCTCGTACTTCGCTCAAGCTTGTTTCCACGCACTGGCTTTCGTAGTTTCGCGCCCATCAATTGCCTGACTTCCGGTCCGAGCGTAGCACTGCAGAGTATGTTTTGCCATCGCGATGGTAGCGTCGAATGTTCCAAAAGAGCCTTTACGTCTCCGGCGTGACCATACGAAAGGATAAGATCTGCCTCGTCCAGGACGAGCAATTGAAGAGACGAGAGGGACAGCGCTCCGGTTTCGATGTGTGCCAACGTTCTCGTAGGTGTGCTGATGACAATGTCTGGGTGAGTGGAGAGGAGAAGTCTGACGGGATCGAGGTTCATTCAGGCGTGCGCGCGTGCGTTTGGTGCGCTCGCCCCCACTCACTTGTGAACCCCTTTGCCTCCCTCGCATGCAGCGTTGACGGCAGCTACCGTCTCGTCGTCAAGATACTCCAACACATGGGCTATCTGCCTAGTCACCTGTTCTGCTAGTTCGCGCGTTGGTACAAGCACCACACATCTCGTCTGCTGTCTCGCTGGATCGGTGAGAGGGATGGCGCTCTTGGCTGATAATATCCTTTGTACAGCAGGTAACGCGTAGGCAAGCGTCTTGCCGCTGCCTGTCGGTGCTTGTGCGAGCAAATCCTTGCCAGAGAGGGCTAGAGGAATCAGCCGCTGTTGTACAGTGGTCGGGTGAGCGAATCCTAATTTGGAAAGCGCTCGCAAGATCCGAGCGTCGAGAACGTGCGCGAACGAAGAGAAGGTCGTCTGCTGTTCTGTACGCTGGGGTTGCGGAGCCACAAGCGAAGAGGAGCTCTGCAGGATGGTTGCGCTCGTATTGTCCATGGCGAAACGCCTTCAGAAAGCACTTTAGGGTGTGTTGGGTTGCGATCTAGCGAAGGTGGTGGCAGGAGTGGTGATGGTGCTTGCAAACGTCCTCGTGGCTGCATGGCGCCAGATGATGGAGGTCCGCTGCAGCAATCGTGAATCGCGAATTTGAGATCCAAAAATTCCACAGGGCCACGTATCTCGTGCGAAAGACGTCGCGCTTCACGCTGCCAGATGTCGGTCACGCGTTGTTCCCTGCGTGCCAGAATCATCACGGACTCAAAGCCAGTTGTTCATCCTTCTGGGTGGGTCACCAAAGTCTTCACCAAAGCTAAAAGAGGCTGTGCTCCATGGAGCTGATACAGAGCTGTCACTGAGGTCTGCTCTGTGTACCTACAGCTGCGCATGAAAAAAAGGTTAACACCTGCATGCATGCCTCCTCACATGTATACTCACTACCACCATCAAAGTGCCATATCTCTGTCAATATCAGTCCAAATCATGTCAAATCTTCAGGAGAGTGTAGAGAATGATAACAGGAGTCTATTCAAGCATCTAACTCCCGGGAAGAAGCATAGAATCTGGGCACTCATGAATGAGGGAATGTCAAGCAGGCAAGTTGGGGCTCAGCACGGGGTTAGTCATGTAACAGCTGCCAGAATTGCAAAGAAAGGACCCCAGAGACCTAAGGATGCAATTGAGCAAAGAGGAAGCCCCCCTAAACACACTCCTCAAGCCTTGAGGCACCTGGCCCACTTCATCAAGACTCACCAGGGGATGCATGCCAAGCTGATTGCCAACATGGCTAGCACATCAGAGGTACACTTCACACAGTACATGGGGCACAAAGTGACAAAGGGAATGAGCCTCAATTGGTGTGTGGCAAGGCACTCACATTCCTGAATAAGGCACACAGGAAGAGGCAACTGGACTATGCTCAGAAGTACCTCAAACATGACTGGAGTCAGACAGCCTTCACAGATGAGACCACATTGACTAATATGCCTTCAAAGAGCACAAGAGCATGGCGCAAACCTAATGTAGCATGGCTGGAAAGTAATGTCAAACCTAAAGTCACCAGGAAAAGACTCTTTGTCATGGTCTGGGTTGGCATCAGCAAGCATGGGCAGCATCCACTGTACAGGTTTGACACCAGCAAAAGTACCTCAAAGAAGGGTGGTGTGAATGCCATCATACAGAGAGCAGATTGCAGATCACTCAAGGCAAGCTCAGAGACTACCTCACAGGTCTTGGGATGATAGGAGGTCATCCTACATTGATGGAGGACAATGCTCCTGTTCACACAGCAAGACTGACAAAGGAAATGGCCAGACAATTGGGATACACCCCTCTTCCCCACCCTCCCAGCTTCCAGACCTCAATCCCATTGAGAACTGCTGGGCATGGCTCAAGAATCAGCTCAAAAACTCAGAGAGGAACTCCAACAATGAAGATGAGCTCTTTGAGGAGGCACAAATGCTCTGGGCAAACATACCAAAGTCTTTGGTAGACAAATGCATTGACAGTATGTAGAGTAGATTGGAAGCTGTCAAAAGAAATAGAGGCTTTGCTGAACACTTTTGATATCTGGTACACAAAACACCTTTACACATCATTTAATGTCTGTACTCTGTGCTCTGAAAATCTGATGTAGATTGCTTCAATATTGATGGAGTTACAGCTGTTTCAAGAATGAGGGATGTGGGAGGGGCCTGATCTTGGCCCGCAGCTGTTAACCTTTTTTTGCGCCCGGCTGTAGCTTCACTGAGCTGTGCTTCAAAACAAGCTCAGTGACCCCCCTCCAGAGTTTACATTCAGGAAGGCTCTGTGACGTCACCCAGTTCAGCCAACAACCTGCTTTGACTGTGGCTATGTGCATGTGACATTCAGATTATTAGTGATGGAGCTCAAACAGCTCCTTCACCTTCCGCTGCAGGTAAAGTGGCATGCGATTTGTGGCTCTGTGAGATTCAAACTGTCTCAGGACAGAACGTGAATGTGAATGAACAGGGGTCGCTCCTAAACACATTGTGAGCGTGAAGGGTGATTGTTGTTTAGGTTACCCAGCGCTTATGCTGGCTCATGATGGCCCAGCCTGAGACACCAAAAGATCTGCCAGCTTACTCGGTTGACAATGGTCATTGTGTGATTTATCAGCCATGTTGCCACACCTGCGCAACGCGTTCACATGATTACCTTCAATACATTGAATGTCCTTGAACTTGGCCAACTTGGACTCACCATCCTTGCTGACCAACAGTCAAGCCCAGCAGGTTTTTCCCTCAGCAAGCATGCCTTGACAACCCTCTGCTACTCTGAGAGTCCTTCCCACCCTGTCAACAATGTCTGTGCTTGCTGCCTACGATCATTGCTGGACTTAATTGCTTTCCGCTGAGAGGATCTCTGGATGTCGCTCGTGATCCTGAATGCCACATCCCATGCATGGTCAGCTGTGTGGGTACGTTTCCGTTTGCTGGCGCCCAGAATGGAGACGAGAGATTCTTTAAGTGAGACACGGT